CGCCGCGACCTCGTCCAAATTACATTCCATGGCGAACGCTCGGCGATGTGGCCCGCGGACCTCGCGCGCTCGAGCAGGGCTCCGCGCCCTTGCTGGAGCGCGGCGCGCGGTGGGCAAGGGGTTGCAGTGCTTGCGCCGCCCTCTGACGGCCGCGCCGAAGGGCTCGGAACAGAACTGCGGCGAGGAGCTGGAAGGTCAACACATCAGAACTAGCCGCCTGCCCAGCGAGGCGCGCCGCGTTGAACCGGGCGGTGATTTCGTCGATGCGCTCGCCACGTGGCGCGCGCGAGCCGATCAGCTGAATGCCTGGAGCGAGCATGCGCGCGACCTCAAAGTGCCCGGGCTTCATGTTCATTACGAGCGCGATGTGTGCGTGCCCGGGTCAGTGTGAATACCTTGCGGTTTCACGCCGAAGTTGATGATGTCTGGATACGTACGCGTGGCAATTATCCGCGCAAGACCTCCCAGCCCTCGCTGAAGCGCAGTTTGATGCTGAGGGGCCATGCGCGAACCTGCCAGGAGCAACCAAATCTTGACATCGTACACGCATCCCTGGAACAGTCGTTCCCCAGCTGGATCCCAACATGGAGGGTGGATAGCTATCGCTGCATCCACCGCGGCGCAAGTATCCGATCGCAGAGCCAAGGCCCAGCCAAATGACTGCATGGGTGACCAATGCCACAAGCTTCAGTATTGCGTTGTTCTGCTCGGGCGCATGTCTCGGTGTGGTACCTTGCGTAATGGATGCAACTCGGCGTCGCGGAGGCTTAGCGCGCTTCCGCGCGGCGTGTTCGGATGCATGACTAGTTGAGACGTGTCAGGCTCTTCTTTCAAATGATGAGCGCACCTGATAAATTCCAAATGCTTTACCAACGGCAACGTATCTTTAAGCCGCTCTGTCTGAAATACTTCGCCTGCGGAGGTAGGTTGCGCCCCTCGGGTCGGATTAGATGTGTTAGGCTTGTTTGCAACCTCTAGTTTCGAAGAGACCCGCGGAACCGCGGATCGAGGGTGGGCTTAAAGTCGGGGGAGACAAGGGGCCACGTGGATCGTGCCAAGCAATGATCGTGTAAGGCCGTATATGGGGGCCGACCGCACGAAAATGTGGTCAGACCCGCCACCAACTCGAAAACCATGTAGTAATGTCACATAGGCAGCACATATGCGAAACATCGAGGATGATGTAAGTGGTATGGGATGAAAAGGGATGTGGGGTGGGAAAACTACTACATTCTTCTGGGATGGGGCGCCAAGAGCTCGGCATTGACGTATAAGACGCGCGCGCCTTGAGCGCACGTCGCGCCCCCACGGACGGTCTCTCCCCTGAAAGTGGCAGGCGAGCAGTCGTGGGCCGCATGCGTGGTCCGCGTCGAATCGCCCCTCAGCCCTTACAGCGGGTGCCCGTGCAGCGTTGGGTGTTGGAGAAGATAAGGACCACAGGGTTCGTACTGCGTCCAACAGAGGGGGCATTTAAGCGGGGGGGTGTATCATGTCCTGGGGCGCACGCGCGGCCAAGGGGCAGGCCAAGGAATGGATTGAGATAGGACAGGGGGGCCGCACCATCTGAGGATATATCATAGCTGCAGCCATGGAGTCCCCCCCCTAAACATCACCCTGCCTCGGCGTCCCCCGACAAGCGCACGATGTGCGGAATTCCGTGGGTGTGTCGGGTGATCGGGCGCTCCAAGACTCGAGTCGGGGATCGGCTATAGAATTGAAGTACCCCAGACTTGATTTGCCCCATTGGATCTATGACGGAAAGGTAGAATAATCGCACAACAACTGGGAATTCTAAGTATATGTCCGTAGATCCGATGAGACAAATAATTCCGAGGTGTATCCATAATGTGATCGGTTCCTTGCTCGAGAGACGACCCCAATACGTCCCCAAGATCGCCCCATGACGGCCCAAGGGGCCCACAAGACGGCCCCAGAAACAGACCTCCAAGACATTCCTCAAGGCGCCCAAAGAGGGACCCACCACTGCCCACAAAGGGGGCCCAAAGGGGGCCTCCGAAGGCCAAGAGGTCCATTGGAGGCAAACAGAGGCCACTTAGAAACCCCCCAAAGGCTCCGAGGAAATCCGGAAGGAGGCCCCGAGGGTGCCTTCAGAGGCCTATCCTTCTTATTGTTACCATTATTATTCGTATCACTTGTAATCTGGCTATTATGTATCATGAACGACTGTTAAGGATATGATGCTTTATCATACTTATCCTTCTTATGATTATTCGTCCTACTCCTGCTCGTGCCCCTGCTCCTGTTCCTGCTCCTGCTCTTGTTCCTGTTCCTGCGGTTGCTCCTGTTCCTTCTCCTCCTCCTCCTCCTCCTCCTCCCCCGTTTGGCCGCATGGGCGCTTCCAAGAGGCAAGGGGTGGCGGTGATTCGCAGTGAGCGTCTTCGATCCACCGCCCCCTGTGCTTGCCACAAGGGTGCGGCATGCTAAATCTCTGGGTGTTCTGGTCCTTCCAAGAAGTTCCCACCGGCCTCCAGGCCAACCCGCTGGCCATCCAGAAAGCTATTCCGGAGGTGGGAGGCACTGGTTTTTCAGCTCCAGGTGGCCGCAAGATTGCTGGAAATGGCTTCCAAGACGGCCACGATGGCCCCAAGACGGCCAAGATGGCCCGAAGACGGCCCAATGTTCCTTTTTGACAGCCCAAAGCGGCCCCTAAGACGCCCCAAGAGGGCTCCAATATGACCTCCAGGATCCCCAAATTATTGATATTCTTTAGGACATTCGATGATCGTATCGTTCTCGCCTGTTCGAGGTCCCGGCACTCCAAGACGGCCCCACGGGCCCCCAAGATCGCCCCAAGACGGCCCCACAGGCCCGCAGGAGGCCTGCAAGACGGCCCAAGAGGGCCCACAGACAGCTCCTCCTTCTCCTCCTCCTCCTCCTCCTCCTCCTCCTCCCCAGAGACCTTCGAGACGGCTCTAAACCAAGACGGCCTGAAGGCGCGGAAAAGAAGGACCCACGACTGCTCAGAGAGGACCCCGCGAGGACCTCCGAAGGCCAAGATGGCCCCAAGTCGGCCCAAGACGTCCTCCAGACGGCCCAGGGAAGCCCCCAAGACGCCCCAAGCGGGCTTCAAGATGAGCTCCAGGAGCTCCAGGAGCCAAGTGTGATTGTTTCAATGATGATATCGTTCTCGTATTTTATTCCAGGTTTCCGACATTCCAAGAGGCCCCACAGGCCCCCAAAATCGCCCCGCGACGGCCCCATAGGCCCCCAAGACGGCCCCGGATACCTCCAAGACGGCCCTGAGGCGCGCTAAGAGGGACCCACGACTGCCCATGACTGCCCAGAGGAGGGCCTCAAGACGGCTTCGGAAGCCCAAGAGGTCCCTTAGAGGTCCCTTAGAGGCCCCCAAGAACCTCCTGGAACCCCCAGGGGACCCCAAGAAGCTTCTCCTCTTCTTCCGCCTCTTTCTCCTCCTCCTTGTCCTCCTGCTACAATCCTCTTCTTCTCGTTCTTCTTTCTCTTCACAATTTTCCCTGAAGAGGTTCCGCAACAGCTGGGGGGAGCACATAATCCAATAGCTTGGCCAGAACTCGGCCCAACGTTTGGCCGCGCTGGCGGTTCCAAAGGGCACGGGGCGGCGGTGATCGGCCGCAGGCGTCTTCGCTACTAGAATCCGAGGAGCATAATTCCCCGAAGCGCGGGGGTCGAGGAGCAGCTGAGACCAGGGCTGAACCCAAACGGTGCTTTTCGTGTTCGTTTTGGTTTCGCTGTCCCTCGCTTTTTTGTCTCGAACCCGCCCCTTTACCGCAAAACGAAGTCGAAGCGAACACGGCCTACGAAATCACCAAAAACACCGTTTAGGTCCAGCCCTGGCAGGAGGAGGAGGAGGAGGAGGAGGAGGAGGAGGAGGAGGAGGAGAAGATGGAGGAGGCGGAGGAGGAGGAGGCTAAAGAGGGGTCTTACGCGAGATGATGCAGCGACCTTGCGCGGTGGTGGCTCACGCGGGCGCCCAGCGCGGCACGCCACAAAGGAGACGAGTGCGCTTACGCGCGACCTTACGCGGGCAGATTGCGCGCCAATGTCGGCGAAGACGAACCCGTTTCTTGTTGCGTCACTCATATGGAACCAACGTGGGCGAAACGTAAAACTCTGGTGTTTAAGCAACAGCTGCTGGGATGCCTTCGCCGGAATGAGAAACGAGGATAAAGCCGCTTTGGGGGGCTACTACGCTGGACTCGGCTGCGGATTAAGCGGGAATAGACCATATGAACCGGGATTAATTGAACTAGACGGGAACAAGCGGGAGTAAGTCGGATTGAGACGGATTTTGGAGCAGGGCAAAATCAGAATTTGACCTCCCAGGAGTTGCATCCGAACGGATTGGGGACTCGGGTTGGCCTGACGCGGCCATCAAGAAAATGACGAGACCCACTCTGAAATCCGACGAGAACTCCCGCTGCGATCAGCCCACGAAAACTGGACCGGCTAAACGCGGGATGGGCCCGTCATAAAGCGTCGGAAAACCAGGGTTCCTGCTCGAGTCCTACGTTCCCCCAATAAGACGGCCCTTATTCGGACGGTCTGGCCGCAGCACAGACGGTCAGATTCTGGTCGACGACGGCCGCCGAAACGAGCCCCATCCCTGCGCCACTGGCGATGGCAGCTGACTCCAGGAAACTGGCGCGCGCGGCGCTTACCAAAAGAGCTACCACTGGCTGCGTGATGATCGACCCCTGACCAAAAAGCACGATAGCCCATGTTGGCCACACATTGACAACTCTCCGTCCTTTTACCACCATGTATACGAGCCAGGTCTATCTCGCAGCACGGGGGTGGGGCTAGGAAAGGCGCATGCTGCTCCTTCACACAAATACCTTGCCCCCACTTGTGGCCGCCGCGATCGCCGCGGAGACCCACAAAATCGGTCTGGAGCACTCCAACGGATCGGGCGTTGCGGCCGCTTCAGAGCGCTCCAGAATGCTCCGAGAGCGTTCAGGAACGCCCCGTCGTCGTCGTCGTCGCAGGAGCGGCAGCCCGGCCTCGTCGCCTTCGCATGCGCGACCGCTTGTCTTGCAGCAGTAGTCCCTCTTGGTCGACGACCAGTCCTTCACGTGCTCGGGGAAGCCCGCCGAGCAGTCGTACTGGGGCAGCGCCGCGTCGTCCGCCTCCTTGGGTCGCGAATCGCTGGTCTCCTCGCGAGCCCGGGCGCGGGCGGGAGGAGTGGTGAGGTGGACATCAACCGCGCCAGCGCACCAATTCAGAGGACGAACAACTACTAGTAATGCAAGTACCGGCACCCTTCCGTCGTCGCCAGGGCTGGATTGGCCTCGAACTCCTAAGTAAACAGGACGCGCCCGAATGGAGGTCCGCGGAGTATCGGTATCGGTACGTCTTGACTCCCCCAAGAACAATTTCTACGCCATTGGCAGCGTGGTAGGGACCTGCCGCAAGACGCGTCTCGAAACCAGCACACTGTACCTGCCTCATGCGCGGCGCGCGCGTTTCACTTGCTGCTCCACACTTCGCTGCTGGTTTGCCCATGGTGGAGCTCCCTGGACAGAGCTGGACACAACGGACGCCCTGGGGCAGTTCTGAATACGAGTACCAGAGACCGACCGACAAACGGAGGAGTGGATTGAGTACAGTCAGGGCGTTGACCCCAGGAACCCTAAATCGAGACCCCTTTTTCCCATACGTGAACCTTCGATTTCCAATGGAGAAGCTGGGGAACACCCGAGGCAGACTGTAAGGCAACCAAGGAATACCGAGCCCTTCCCCAACGATAGAGGTTCCTTCTTCAGCGCCCTGACGGTAGGAAGACTCTGAGTTGGGGGCGCTCCGAGGGGATTTCCCAGCGCACGCTGCCGCGCACGCACGTCGCGCCCGACGGGCGCCCCAGGCCCCCGAGACCCCGCACGCCACAGCCCCAGCGGACGTGCGTGGGGGCGGCGCCCCTCGAAGAAACTTTTTCGCTGTCGGGGGCGCCTGTCCCAGGGCGGCTGGAAAGTCCCACCAGCCCTTTGGGCGTGAGTGGTTTAGGGAGCTCTCTCTGTCCTCAACCCCCCTTCTTCCCCTTCGGGGAGGGGTTTACCCCTCCCCCTACCCCCTCCCCCTGGGCCTGGAAAGGGGGTTTCGCGGGTGGTTGGAAGGGTCTTGTTCGACTCCTGGGAGGGCTAAAAAACGACGGCCCTCACGAAGATTCTGGCCCCGACGGGGGGGCGGAGATAGGTCCTTCTCCTTTTCTTTGAAGCCAGAATCATTGATTTTACTACGGTTTCGGCCCCATTTTGGCCTCCTGAGGGGGCAGCGCTCCTCTTCCTTCATAGCAAAATCACTGATTTTACGAAGGTTTTGGGCTCATTTTGTCCTTCTCAGCGAGCAGCGCTCATTTGCGCTGCTGAGGAGGTCGCAAGAGGCCCCAAGATGGCCCCAAGAGGCCCCCAGGATGCTCCCAAGAGGCCTCCAAGAGGCCCCCAAGAGGCCCCCAAGAGCCCCTCAGAGGCCCCCAAGAGGCCCCCAAGAGGCCCCAAGAGGCCCCCAAGAGGCCCCCAAGAGGCCCCCAAGAGGCCCCCAAGAGGCCCCCAAGAGGCCCCCCCAAGAGGCCCCAAGAGGCCCCAAGAGGCCCCCAAGAGGCCCCCTAGAGGCCCCCAAGAGGCCCCCAAGAGGCCCCAAGAGGCTCCAAGAGGCCCCCAAGAGGCCCCACGAGGAGCCCGAACGACTCACACCAGGACGAGGGGCCCGAACGACTCACACCACGAAGAGCCCGAACGACTCACACCACAAGGAGGGGCCCGAACGACTCACACCAGGACGAGGCGCCCGAACGACTCACACCACGAGGAGCCCGAACGACTCACACCACGACGCGGGCCCCGAACGACTCACACCACGAGGAGCCCGAACGAGTCACACCAGGAGGAGGGGCCCGAACGACTCACACCAGGACGAGGGGCCCGAACAACTCACACCACGAGAAGCCCGAACGACTCACACCAGGACGAAGAGCCCGAACGACTCACACCACGAAGAGCCCGAACGACTCACACCAGGAAGAAGGGCCCGAACGACTCACACCAGGACGAGAAACCCCAAACGACTCAAACCACGAGGAGCGCTTTCTCTCCCTCCTCCTCCGCCTCGTCCTTCTCCCGCTCCCACCACAAGGAGGATGTACAAGGAGGCGGGAGGAAGGAGGAACAGGGGAGATATGCGGGGGCAGGCGGAAACACGCCTGAAAAACACGACTGTCGGCATGCTTCGCAAGAGTTGCTGTTTTGAGATGGGCCGGTGGGGATACGCGAAGCGTAAAGAATTCATACCCTTACGGTGGCACCGTAGGGGCATAAACTTTCCAGCCGCCCAGGGACAGGCGCCCCCGACAGCGAGAACATTTATTTTCTACCGTTCTTCGCTCGCTGAGACTTGGATTCCGCTCCTCTGCCTGCTCCCCCTGCGGCTCGGACTCGGACACCTCGCCCGAGGCTGCCGGCTGCACACCAACACCAAGCTCTAGGTCGGGCCTGTCCACCCACAGGGGGATCTTTGGCGAAAAATCAAACATATTCAAGAAATACCCCCGAATTGTCAGAAATAGCAAAAAAATGTCCCCAGACTGTCTTGAAACTATGTTCGAAAATTCCCCCTGTAGAGGGACAAGCCCGACATCAGCCAAACTTGACCAGGCCGCGGATCGGTGTACAGACAGTCTTGGTCCGGCCGACAGAGTCTGCACAAGTATCAAGAGCCAGGTCCGGGCTGGGCCTCGCCAGCTTTTGGTGTCGGCGCGGAGTCGCCAATCTCCCACCTCGTGCTGGCTCTCGCCGGCGCACCCCACGAACTTGGTCTTGCAGCAGTACTTCTTCTTCTCCTGCCGCGCGCTCGGGTCAGGGCCTCCGAGGGCCGAAGAGTCCGGCCCCCAAGGTTGCAGAAGGCTGCTGCGGTGCTTGTTTTCTGCGCCATGGCGGGGAGAACCCGCCATGGGGCGGACGCCCTCACAAACCATCCCCACGAGTGCATCATGGACAAAAGAGGCCTCCACAATTCGTGGTTGGATGGCACTTTCGTTCGAACTGCGGTCCTGCGACCACTGTGGCGCGTAGTCAGGGTACCTCGGCCGGCTGGAAAGACGATCCCCCCTGGAAGCTGCAGCCGTGCTGGGATTTCCCCCAGCCCTTTGGGCGTACGTAGGTGGTTCAGGGAGATAGCTCTTCCAACCTCCTCCTTCCCCTTCGGGTAGAGGTTCCCCTTTCCCTCTACCCCCTCTCCAGCACGGCCCCAACAGGGCCCCAGCACAACATGGTCGCCAAAGTTGTACATGTTAGACCAAGATGGCTCTGGACAGTTTCTCACATGCCTCCAGGATGCTCCAAGACCGTCCCAAGACGGTTCCAAGTGGCTACGGGGCCTGCCGAGGACACCCCCCAGAGGCCAGCACCCTTCCAAAACTCAGCGAAAACCAACGACTTCAGTCTCCTCGCCTTTCGGCTTTTGAGGCCTCAAGATGGCTCCAAGATGGCCCAAGAGAGCCCCAAGAGGGGCACAAGATGACCCCGATAGCGTCCAAGAACGGCCAAGGAGCGCCGCAAGATGCGATTTTGATGGCCTCGCCGTGGGAACGAACCCCCGTTCTTTCATAGCTTGTTTTCCTTATAGACGGCCTCCAAGATGGCCCCAAAAGGGCGCCCAGAGGGCCCAAAAGGCTACCAGAACGATCCCGCCTTGCTTCACTGTATGCTCACCGGCTCCCCTCCTCTAGACAACTCCCCTGAACATCGCTTACGGATACACTAGTGGGGATACTTTTTTTCGGTCGCGGCCGCGAGCGAAGAGCGCAGGCGGCGAAGAGAAGTTGTCTGGGCCGACGGGCAAATCTAATTACTAGTGGGGATACGCGAAATGTCACGAATTTAATCAGAACCCATCGCTGAAGGCTGCTGCCGAACACCGCAGCCCCCCCTGCGAAGGTCTGCCTCGTCTGTTGGAACGCACGAAAAGTGCTGCGGGGGGAACAGCAACTCATATGGGACGCACACACACACACCACAACACAACACACAACACACAACGCCACAGCGCCAACACTCCACAATACAACACAACACAATACAAAACAGCACAGCACAGCACAGCACGGCACGGCACGGCACAGCACAGCACAGCGCAACGCAACGCAACGCACGCACGCAAGCACGCACACACGCAACGCACGCAACGCACGCAACGCACGCAACGCACGCGCGCGCACACACGCAATCACACACACACACATACACAAGGGCACACACACACACACGTACCCCCCCACACCCGTCACACACACACACACGCACTAACTTGGGTCGCACCGCGCGAGGGGCATTTCAGGAAGATTGCGCAGTATCCGAGACCATACTTGGGCTAGCACCGTCTAGAAAACACACACATGATTTTGTCGACATTGCGAATGCGGTCTTGCCCCCTTCGAGAACAAACGCCGTCCGCCGTGAACTGTAGCTCCGAAGACAGGCGTACCTTTAATGTCGATTCGATTCTGGATGTATGCTTCCTCTGGGTACCCCGAAATGCAGTCGTACTCGTTGGGCACCTTGCCTTCTGTTACATCATGACTGCTTGCACTGCTTGCCGTCATGCTGCCAGAGCTGTTCGCGCTGCAGCCCACCTTCTTCTGCGCACAGCACCAGGACAGCTTTTGATCAGACCAGCCTAATTGCATGTCCTCGGTGTCTTCGGCGCAATCGTGCTCCTCAGAACAGCCCTTGCCCTCAGAAGTACAACACCACTCCTTCTTGTCCGACGACCAAGCGTGGACAGCCAACTCAGAATCAGCGTCGCAATCGTAGCTTGCTGAAGAATTGGCCGGAGCCGCTTCTTCAGACGCACTACCCGCCATCTTCACGCAACTCTCGTCCATATTCAGACCCTTCTTCGACGCTTCGTCGGCAATCCGTCATCATGCCAACGGCACGTTAGAGCGTTTTAGGGATCATGCCGGCTTGCTGGTAGGGGTTCTGTAGTTTTCCAAATGCGTCCCACCTTTCCCCGCGCAATCCCGTCGAAAGTCGCCCACCAACCTCTTGCTCACTAGCGCCCTTGTCGGTCCCAAGACAGCCCCGCGACTGTTGCAAGATTCCCAGATACTGCACGGTTCCCCCAGGGCCGTAGGCGACATGAGGAGGAGGAGGAGGAGGAGGAGGAGGAGGAGGAAGAGGAGGAGGAGGAGGAGGAGGAGGGGGAGGAGGAGGAGGAGGAGGAGGAGGAGGAGGAGGAGGAGGAGGAGAGAGGACGGGTCGCCTGAGCCCTTCGGAGAAACCCTCCACCCAGACACCTCCCAGGGTCCACCCTGACCCCTTTTCGAGACGGATCCAGCCATGGCGACGAGAAGCTTCCAGGAGGCCCAGCGAAGGACGAAAGAAGGCAGCGAGGGCCGGCGTTGACTCGACTGGCCCTCCCCGGGCACATTGGCCAGATGGCGGGACAGTGCCGAACTGAATCGGAATGTCGCCACAAGTGAGATCTGTTCTGGCTTCGGTTCGCGTCGCACGTACGGGCGAAGCGACTCTGCGCGACGGGGCGGAAGGGGACCACTGGGCGCAACCAGGGGCAAATGTGCCGAATCATTGGCCTCTGCCGCTGATGGGGCCCGGCGGGCTACCCCGTGGGGGTGTCCTGAAACTGTGTCGCGGGTGTCCCGTGTGGCCTCGCATTTGCTATTGGCTGTTTCGTATCCGCCACCGTGCCGCAGACACGGAGGGACGTTGCGCAGTCGGTATCGCCCGTGGGTGGGCGAAGTTCCATTTGAGTCAGGGTGAGGCCGCACTCAGCTGGATTCCACAGGAGCTCGCGAAAACGACTACTCTTGCGCAGATTTGACTGCTCTGCGGGGCCTGTCTCTGAAGGGCGGTCACCGTGAGGTTACCCGAGGCCCCGTTGGGGGCACCATGGGGGCAATGAGGTGATGCTCTCGCGGTTCTCCGAGGCACCCCAATCTACACGAAAAGGCTTCCTTAGAAAAGCATTATAAACATGAACTTTTGGCGCTCCGCGCGGATTTCTTGGATCTGCGCCGGACCCCGCTCCATCTCTGGCGCGCGGAGCGCGCTCGGGGCGGCGCCGGAGGCGCCGCCGGGGGGGACCAGCGCGGATCCAAGAGATCCGCGCGGAGCGCCAACAAATTATGTTAGTTGAGTTTTTTCTTCTTCGATTCTCCGAGTCTCCGAGGCACCCCAATCTGCATGAAACGTGAGCAATTTATAGACTCCGCTCGCTGTCGGAAGCGAGGGCTGGACCCCCTGGGGTGACTGCCAACAGGCAGCCCGACTCTACGCATCACACTCTGGATTGTAGAATCCATGAAGCGATGAATTCTAGCAAGCTGTAGCACCCGCGGGTCCACCAAGCACGGGGGATCGGACCGGCGCAAGGGCACCCGGAGGGCACAATCTGCATACTGTCGGACCTGGGCCAGAAGAACAACCCTCAAGAGCATGAGACCCTCTGTCGGTCCAAGCACACAGAACATCCAAGGGTACTCTCCCCAGGATGCGCAAGAACGTCCAGCAGACACGAAGAACACTAGGAGGAGGAGGAGGAGGAGGAGGAGGAGGAGGAGGAGGAGGAGGAGGAGGAGGAGGAGGAATAGGAGGAGGAGGAGGAAGAGGAGGAGGAGGAAGCGGAGGAGGAGGAGGAGATCACCCCCCCCGAACCGGCCTCGATCTCATCTCATACCTCGGTCCGACTGTTTTTAATTCACAGACGCACGCGAGGCCCAAGCCAGCAGCAGATCTTCGCGCTGAGAATCAACGCGCCCGCCCGCGCTCCGAAAACAGAAGGAAGGACATATACAGTGGAGGCCCATGCCAAGAAACACCCTGCTTGCCTCCAGGGTGCCCTGGGTTTCGTGGGTTTCGATGGTACTGCTGTGGAAGGCGTGACGCTCCCACACCAGACATCGGTGGACGTCCTGGGGTCTAAACGTTGGGTTTCCGGTGGAAGGTTTCTTCTGCTCGGGCCTCCACTGTAAGACCACCCTTCTCCCCATTCCGTCCCAGAGATCCGATGTCGTGTTTTTTTGTTGTAAGAACGGGTCACCGGAAGTCTCGACCCTTTCCCCAGGACTGGTTTTTCATCCTGAGTTGTTATTTGACGGTCCCGAGGCCCGGCGAGGGCCCCTGGGGGCCGAACCTTACGAAAAACCTCCGTCTCGATTTCTTCAGTGCGTTGGATCTCTGAGGTCTATCCACACGACCTATTGCTCGATCCCGCTACCAGAGCCCGCCGACCCTGTCGGCCTGTGTGAGGGGGGGGGCTCTGGGCTGGTCGTCCAGGGGTAGCCCTGGAAGGCGCTCTCGAGCCGGAGCTCTTCCTGCCTGCGGCCGCTCTTGGCCCTCTAAGCTCGCCGCGACGAAGCGAATCGAGCCAGGTCGTGCTCGAGTCGACGGAGAGCCCCTTCCCTTTGATCCCAGTCTCCGCTCTGGGCAGGGGGGTCCCAGGTCCAGGACAGTATGCGCTCCCTCCTTCCCCGTTTGGGTCATCTTCGGGTCAGCTTGGCCCTGTATGTGCAGCTTCGGCAACCGACGCCCAAGGTACCCCCGAAGACGGCCCAAGAGGCTTCCAAGACGGCCAATCCCACGAGGGCCCCAAGAGGCGCACATCATACATTTTCCAACGGGTTGTGAACCATTTAGCGTTCTCGTCTTTTGTGTCTTCCGACGCTCCAAGACGGTCCAAGAGGCCCCAAGATCGCCCCAAGACAGTCCATGGGACCCCAAGGAGGGCTCCAAGACAGCCCAGGAGAACCCCAAGCTGGCCCACGAGGCTCTTGACCCAAGGGGGGGAGCACGACCTGACATGTTGAGCCCTCCGCACCAAGATGACCCCGAGGCTGCCTGCAGGCTCCCAAGAGACCCTCAGAGGCCTCCAAGAGGCCCCCACGGGTCCCTCCAAGTGGCCTCCGCGAGGCACTCGAGGATACCCCTACTTGCATTCAGAATGCGTCTGGCCCACGGCCCAAGCACGGTGACGTGACGGGCCGAAAGCCACTATCGGGGATGGACAGACCCCCCTTTAGCAAAACGTGGTTTAGTGAAAACGACCTGAAGCCCAAACCTGGCGGGCGCAAGCCTGGAAAATGACGGCCACGGCGCCCTCTCGAGAACCGAAAACGGACAAGTCACTAATCGACGTGTCACTGTTGGGGGTTCTGTCCAGCCCCGATAGATCCGTCGCAACCTGTCGATTCATCGCAGAGGTACCTGGCGTGCTAAACTATTACGGTCTTGGTTTTTGTTCTTTTTCCAAAAGAACTCCCCCTGGGGCTTCGGCCCGTCCCACCGGGGTCCCAGGAAGGACCTCAATCCGGAAAGAATCCTCCATGACGGCTCCAGATGGCGCCAAGATAGCCACGTTGGCCCAAGATGGCCTGCAAGTCCGCCGCAGCCTGCTGACTTGTCACAGGGGTGCCCCGGCGTGCTGAACGTCTGATGCTTTGGCGTTCCTTCTGAAACTTCCCCCGGGGCTCCGGTCCCTTGCGCCGGCCACCTGGAAGCACCCCGAATGTCGGGATCGGCCAAGAGGGGGGGGGTCCAAGAGGGGGGGGTGCAAATCATGGCCGGCGGCATGTGCGCGGCCCAGCGGGGGGGCCAGGGACGTAACGAAATAAGAAGAGGCGCCATGAGATCTGGGGAAATATCATGGTCCACGCCATGATATCCACCCCCCTAGTCATACCCCCCCTCTTTTCCGCCCCCGATGGAAGCATCCCGAATTTGCCTGGATGGATGAGCAGAGGGGATGGGGCAGTCCCCTGGGGGCAGCTCCGGGGTGTCTCCAAAACCTCCCTGGAGCCCGTTGCTGGCGCCTCTTGGGGTCTCGTGGGGCCTCTTGGGGACTCTCGGGGTGCTCTTGGGGGGCTCTCGGGGTGCTCTTGGGAGCCTCTTGGGGTCAATTGGGCGCTCTTTAGGCTTCTGGGAGCCCGTCCGGAACTCTTGGGCGGCTCCTGGGAGCTTCTCGGAGCCTGTTGGGAGCCTTCTTGGGGCCTCGCAGATGCCCCTTCGAGCATCTTGGTGGCCTCTTGGGGTCTATTGGGGCCGCTTGGGGCTTCCCTTGGAGGCATCTTGAAGCTGTCGTGGGAATCATGCGCAAGCCTCGGAAGCGCATCGGAGGCGAAAATGCGAGAACGCAAAAAAACATTGATGCTCCTCAGATGCTGTAACGGTGTTGGACTCTCGAGTGCTTCCTTGGAGGTCTCTTGGGCGGTGTTGGGGACCTCCTGGCAGCCTCATGGCACTGCCTTGGGCGCTCGTGGGGGTCTCGTGGCCGTCGGCAGAGTCTCCTGGGCCGTCTGGGAGCCCCGGCGGTGTGTCTCGGAGCGGCCCTGGGCCGTCTCGAGGCCGTCCCATGGGGCTCCCTGGGAGGCCCGGGAGGGCGGCACCGGGGCTTGCCCGAGATGTCATCGGGGTGGGGGTAGGAGCCCCAGGGGGGTGGGGGTGGGGCGTGCACATCTACAATCTGATTGTGCTCCTCGGTCGGAAGCAGAGGATCGAAACATGAAACGGGGGCGCGCAAACATGGATTGGTGATCCACGGATTTGGCGCGCGGTCGCCAAATCCATGGATGGGGGGAGGTGCCCTCCCCCAAATGCGGCCCGTGCCGCCTCGCTCGGCGGCGGAAATGCACGATTTCCCATGCAAATGGGGCCCGTCGCTAATCCACGCCCCCTTGATTCATGTTTGCGATCGCCAGGATAAAGTAGGAAGGCGTTAAACCTCCTGAAGAGGAAGGAAAATGGAACGCCGCTGGATGATTGAAGTAGGAAGGCGCCTGGAGTGGATTGGAATATGGGGATCCATCGTATGAATAAATCGCGTTCGCAAGGTCGTTGCTATGTGCAGAGGCCGCTAATCAGGTCGTCAAGCCGTTGGCTCGATGGGAGCCGGCTGGGCAAGCAGACGGAGCCTGCATTTCTAGCATTCGCGGCAACGGGCGTAATCGGGGATGGGGGGGGGGGGAAGTTCGTCCCCGCCGATCGGGTGTTGCTAGAAGTGCCCCTGGCCCAAGTTACCCCCAGGATTCCCGGGGTGGCCCAGGCGGCCTCCAGAGCACCCCTCACGAGGCCCAGAGGGCCCCAGGGGCTCCAAAATTGAGCGAAAAGCCAGGGGCACCTGGGGCCAGGGGCACTTCTGGCAACACCCGAGCCGATCACGTCACGGCGGGGGGGGGGGCCGGAGATCTCCAGAGATCCCCGAAGGATCCGTAGAACATCCCTGCACAGGTGGGCAACACGGCGTGGCGTGATCCCCGGGGGGGGGGGGGAGAGGGCCGACCTGGGCCGGCATCGTCCTCAACAACAGAAGGCAGGCCCATGAGTCGTCGTGGAGCCGTGCGTGGTGGCAGCAGCAAGTGCCACGTCGAAGGCCGCGCTCGCTTCGCCCTTACCTCCCCTGCCACGAGAACGTGATTGGAGAAACCAAAAGGTACCGATACCGCTACTCCCCGGACCTCTCCTGGGGTGCGTTCTGACCAGGATTTCGAGGCGAATCCAGCGGTGGCGACGAGGGACTCCGAGGAGGCCCAAGAAGGGGAAGAACTGGCGAGGAGTAGCTGTATGGGTACCTCTTCCTCCTTTGAGTAATGTCAAGATGCCCCAGATCCCGCGATCGCGAATGCCTGGGGCGAGCGGGCGCGTCGCCTTCTGCCCGAGCGGAACGGCGAGGTTGCGGCCACGAGGGCCCGAGGCCGCCCAGAACCTCTCGCTTTCTACAAGGAGGTCGGCCTCGACATTGTCCTCACGCCCACCTCTATCGGGGATGGACAGACCCCCCTTTAGTAAAACGTGGTTTAGTGAAAACGACCTCGGGCCCAAACCTAGCGGGGGCAAGCCTGGAAAATGACGGCCGCGGCGCCCTCTCGAGAACCGAAAACGGACAGTTCACAAATCGACGTGTCAGGGTAGGAGGTCTGTCCACCCCCGACTCTAAGCAGAGGAACTGGCTCTGGGCTTTTCAAGGCCGGCCGACCTCGCAAGGCCGAAAGATCGTCGCCGCATGCCGTCCGCACCCTGGTCTTTGCCGGTCGCCGCGTACTGGAACGAACGGTCGAATACCAAAGACGCCGCGTGAACAGGCGCCACGACTGGGACCTCGAACAAAGAATTTTCAACTTAGACAACCCCCTGGAAAAAGGCTCCCACGGAATCCACACAATACGTCTCCCAGAAACACACAATCAAACAACGCGACGACAATGCGCAACGTCACGACCACGCCATGTTACAGCATCGAAGCGCTGCTACAAAGTTAGCCCAAACATGTTTTTGCCAAGCCTTCTCAAGAGATTTTGCTACTAGAGAGGCATCGCGACACAGACGAACTAGGGAGCGTTGGGGGGACCGCAAGGACCCTGTAAACCTGTGGCTCTACTACATTTCCTTAGGAGAGCTGGGCACAACCCCCTGCATCCGCGGATCTACTGACCCATGTCAATGCAAACCCGGGTCAGCCTGGCTTTGCAGGATCCTGCAGGATCCTGCGCGCTAACCTGGGTCAGTGCACCCCTGACTCTGCAGGATCCTGTAAGATGTGGCACTCGGGCTGACCCCCGTTTGCATCGGTCTCGAAGGATCGACCCCGTACGGCCTTCCGATGCACAACATCAAATGCTGAGTCGGCACGGTGGCGGGGTTTGCCGCAAGCAAATGAATATGACCAGAGAGTTCGCTAGGATCATCATGCAGGGCGGTGACTTTCTTGTGCACCCTCGCAACAGTATGACTGTCGGACTTCACGTGGAAACCAACTTTGGAAGCCTTGCAAGTGGACGTGCTGGCTGCAAGGCGACGTGCTGCCAACTCCGAGGCGACGATGAGCGCAGACTGAGGCACTGCAAACGTTTTGGCCAACGCAGACTTGACAATGTCCTCCACCTGAGCAGGGGCCCAAATAAAGAATACATTGGAGGCCAGTCCACAAGAAACCTTCCACAATAAACCCAACCCTGAGACCCCAGGGCGACCCTTGATATTTGGCGTGGGAACGTCACGCGTTCCATCGCAAAACCATGGCAACCCAAGAAAACAAGGGCACCCTGGAAGCAATCAAGGTGTTTCTTGGCATGGGTCTCCACTGTACACATGAAACGGATATGCAAACGTATCCGCAACCGCGCCGCATGCACTTCGTGGAGCGCCACCAGGTCCCTTTGGGTTCTCTGTGCTGAGTACAGTCCGACCAGCCCTCTGGGCGCGAGTGGTTTAGAGACCCTCTTTTTCGAATCCCATTCTTCCCTCCAGGGGGCGGTTCACCATTGCTTCTGATTGGTAAGCGCGTAAACGCCCCCTCCCCCGCTCGACTGGCGACAAACCAAGAACCATGCCAACAAGCCCGCATCCCCATCTCCATCAAACACCGCACAGAGTGCACGTTGCAGCAACATCTTGAACCACGCGCGGGGGGGGCCGAGCGCGATCACTTACAGAGTTGTTTGGCAGGGGCGACGCGGGGGCATCATGCTGCCTGGTATTGCGCCACGACGATACACACAGATAGGGAGCCCACAAAGGACGTACGCACCCAGCTATGTACATGAACACGGCCCCTCGATCTGCGAGACCGGCCGCGTTATGCGAACATTTGCGCAATGCGCACTCTCGAATCCAGCGTGGACTCATGTACGTGTACGTCCTTCTTTCGCTCCTGAACAGACGGCCTCCGACGGACTCTGCATGTACCTTCGGGGAGGGTGGCGATGTGCATCGAGTCGCTGGCTCGCAGTGATGTATTCACCGCCGCCCTCCACTGCAACCCACGAACTATCCACTGGAGGGTGTCAGTGTCCATGTTTTAACGGGCGAAGAGCTGTATAACATAAACTTTTTCGCTGTCGGGGGCGCCTGCCCCTGGGCGGCTGGGAAGTTCATGCCCCTACGGTGCCACCGTAAAGGGTATAAGCTTCCCAGCCGCGCTGGGGCAGGTGTCCCCGACGGCGAAACAGTTTATGTTATACAGGTCTTCGCCCGTTAAATGTTTCCGTGGCGGAGGTGGGCAGGCCCACCAGCCCTGCCAAACGAAACGTGCAGAGTGCACTATGTTGCCCCCATCGTGCTGAACGGCCACATCCCAGAAACAATTTCGAGAACCCTGAGCAGTATCGAAGCAGTGTCGAATGAGTATCGCCTCCCAGGGCCCGACGACGCGTGAAAACCTCCAAGGTTCGGTGCTTCCGTGGTGCACAAACCTCCGTTTTGGTGGTCAAGGCTGAGAGTAGGCTGGAACATCAGAAAGAGTGCCCTCTGCGGCAAACTCTTGGCCCCTGCCAGGGGAAGCCCCGCGACCACTCTGCAGTGCTCGCGACGGTGTCGGTGTCCATGTCTCCGTGGCGGAGGTGGGCAGGCCCACGGGCCCTGCCAAAAGAGGCGTGCAGAGTGCCCTCTGCGGCAAACTCCTGTTGCCAGCCTCGAACGTATCCCTATCCCTAAGGTTGACACGCCAAACAGCGATGACAGTCTCAGGGATGCGCCCTCCAGAAAGAAGGGAGCCCCCAAGATTGGCACCGTGACGAGGAGATGCCCAGCATAGGGATAGGGATACGCTCCAGGCTGGCAATCTTGGCCCATGCCAGGGGGGGAGCCCCGCGATCATCGGGGATCTTCTGACCCGGGTCAATCCAGACCCGGGTCAATGAAGCCTGCAAATCCTGCAAGATCCTGCACCCAAACCCGGGTCAATGCGAAGGACCCTGCAGGATCCTGCAGGATCCTGCACCCACACCCGGGTCAATGCGACCCTGGCGCTGCAGGATCCTGCAAGATCGGGCGCTCTGGCTGACCCCCGTCTGCACTGAACCCCGTCTCGAGGCTCCCGAGATCACTCCGCAGTGTCTGCGCCGGTGCCAGCACGCTGCCCCGTGCGTGCAGGCCCGACGGCCCCGTCAGCACTCCGCGGGTGCACGCGCCGTGCGCCCTGCTGGCCGTCCCGCCGCCGCGTCGCACTGCGGATGGTTCGAGGATGGTAAAGAAGGACGGCGTGCTTCCAGATGTGCACGGTCACGGGTGGTACTGGCGCACCTGGCGCACGTGGAGCACGTGGAGGAGGAGGAGGAGGAGGAGGAGGAGGAGGAGGAGGAGGAGGAGGGGAGGAGGAGGAGGAGGAGGAGGAGGAGGAGGGGGGTACGAGGAGGAGGAGGAGGAGCAGGGGGAGGAGGAGGGAGGAGGAGGAGGAGGAGGAGGAGGAGGAGGAGGAGGAGGAGGAGGAGGGGGAGGGGGAGGAGGAGGAGGAGGAGGGGGAGTAGGAGGAGAGGAGGAGGAGGAGGAGGAGGGGAGGGGAGGAGGAGGAGGAGGAGGACGAGGAGTAGGAGGAGGAGGGGGGGAGGAGTAAGAGGAGGAGGACGAGGAGGAGGAGACGAGGAAGAGCACGAGTCGCACCTGCTGCACCCAGCGCACCTGGCGCGTCGGGGCCCCCGGGGGTGCCCGCCAGGCCCGGTATGGCGCGCGCGGCGCGCCCCGCGAGCGTCGCGCGCCCGGCGCCTGAGAAGGGGGCCCTGGGGCACACAAACAAAAATACACAAATAACGGGATTCCCTATATGTTCCAATAGTTTCTGTGTTTCTGTCGCCCCCCCCCACTTCCCATGTTTTCCCATATCTTCCGGGGGATCGACGGTGAATTGTATCTGTGTGTTTTTTCCCCTCCTGAGCCTGTTCTCGATGGCTGACGCTGACACACGTGTTACGAAGTTTGAACCTACTTTAGCCTTGATCACCAGAAAGAGCTTCGAGCACCGTGGAAGTACCGAAACTGGAGTGTTTGCACGCGTCGGGCCCTGGGAGGCAATACTCGTTCGACACTGTTTCGACATTTTTCTGGGCGCTCGAGAGTCTTTCTGGGATGTGGCCCTTAAGTGCGATGGGGACAACATAACACATGTCATCGTCGTCGTCACCGCCGTCGTCGTCGCAATTTTCCCCTTGACTTTCCTCCCGCCTCTCCTCTGCATCCACCTCCCATGTCCTCCACGTTTCCCTTCCCTGCCATATCCGCCTGCTCCTCCTCACACTCATTCTTATCGAGGGGCGAACGCTGGAATCCGCATGGGAGCGCGTTCCGTCAGACTACATTTCCTTTTTGCCCGCCCCCTCCTCTTCTTCCGCATGCTCCTCCTCCTCCGCCTCGTCCTCCCTCCTCGTCCTCTCAAGTGTCCAGCTCGTTCCATGTTCTCTTTTGAACCTCATCAGGCAGATTCGCGAAGATATACGTGGCCTGCTCGCGAAATGCATGATGCTACACGCCCCCGATCAGGACAAATCGATGCTAGAGAGTATTGGTAACCCCACAGGGTCTTTTGACCCCCCCCCAAATAGTGCGCAAATATATGGTTGTCCCGCGGGCTTATTGACGGACTGGGACCCCAGCAGTAATGGAACATATTATTTTCCGTGTGGAACTCGGGCCCCACGGGGAGGGAGGGAACCCACGAGGACCGTGAGAAACTTCATCCTCAATTTATCCATCTTCAGGAAAACTCGCGACTGCCTAAGGGGAACGTAAGGACAACCAAGGACAACCGGAAGACAACCTAAAGAAAACCCAAGGAAAACCTAAGGACAACCTTGTACTACGTGCCTTGCACGAACGGGCTCCGAAAACCTCCCCCGTGTAGGGTAGCCCACGCGGGGTTGTTTTCCAACAGAAAGAACCACCCACCAAGACCCAGCACGGCGAACAATATCGGGATTCGAACCCTGGCCGAGCGGGCAGGGAGGGACTGATTGGACTGATGGGTCGGATTGGACTGATGGGGACTGATTCGGTTGATTGGCGCTAATTGGACTGATTGGGAAGATGGGGACTGATTTGGGTGATGGGGACTGATGGGGACTGACTGGGTTGATGTGGACTGACTGAACATGAGCAGCGACCTGAGACGAAACGATCTTGTACTACGCGCCTTGCACGAACAGGCTCCGAAAACCTCTCCCGTGTAGGGTAGCCCACGCGGGGTTGTTTTCCACGAGAAAGAACCACCCACAAATACCCAGCACGGCGACCAATAACGGGAATCGAATCCTGGCCGAGCGGGCAGGGAGGGACTCATTGGACTGATGGGTCAGATTGGACTGATGGGGACTGATTCGGTTGATTGGCATTGATTGGACTGATTGGAATGATGGGGACTGCTTGGGGTGATGGGGACTGATGGGGACTGACTGGATTGATTTGGACTGACTGACGCTGAACAGCGCTTCGAGACGGAGCGGTCTTGTACTACGTGCCTTGCACGAACAGGTTCCGAAAACCTCCTCCGTGTAGGGTAGCCCACGCGGGGTTGTTTCCCAAGAAGAAAAACCACCCACCAATACCCGGCAAGACGAACAATGTCGGGAGCCGAATCCTGGCCGAGCGGGCAGGGAAGGACTGATTGGACTGACGGGTCAGATTGGACTGATGGGGGCTGATTCGGTTGATTGGCATTGATTGGACTGATTGGAATGATGGGGACTGCTTGGGATGATGGGGACTGATGGGGACTGACTGGATTGATTTGGACGGACTGACACTGAACAGAGATTCGAGACGGAACGATCTTGTACTACGTGCCTTGCACGAACAGGCTCCGAAAACCTCCTCCGTGTAGGGTAGCCCACGTGGGGTTGGTTTCCAAGAGAAAGAACCACTCACCAATACCCAGCGCGGCGAACAATATCGGGAGCCGAATCCTGGCCGAGCGGGCAGGGAGGGACTGATTGGACTGATGGGTCAGATTGGACTGATGGGGACTGATTCGGTTGATTAGCGCTAATTGGGCTGATTGGGAAGATGGGGACTGATTGGGATGATGGGGACTGGTGGGGACTGACTGGGTTGATGTGGACTGACTGAACATGAGCAGCGACCTGAGACGGAGCGATCTTGTACTACGCGCCTTGTAC